GGCCGGCGGGGAGCGGGGGAGCAAAGCCTTGGAGCACGCCCGCAGCGGGACAGCCCGGGCGCGCCTGGGCTGTCCCGCTGCGGGCATACTCCAAGGCTTTGCTCTCCGTCTCCCTGCAGACCAGGGAGACGGGGAGCAGCTATTCTCGCCCCGGAGGACGGGGGCGGCGGACCACGGCGCATCTGGGCGTCCAACCGCTCCCGTCCTCCGGGGCGAGAAAAGCCCCGTTCGTAACTGCGGATCCGACATAAGTCAGATCCGCGTAACTCGGGGACTGCCTGTAGTGCCATAACACGATTATGCAAATGAAGCACGAGATATTTAAATCCCAGCTTCATTTGCAATTTCAAATGTCTTCATTTACCTCCCTCTCTTGAAAAAGAGTGCAAGTGTAGACGTACCCTCAGAAACCTCAGACCTGGTGGTTTTAACAGGCAAGACTTGTAGTAGAAGAGTCTCCTTTCTAGCTCATGACATATAAGTCCCACAGACAGAGCAATGAGAAAGAGGAGTGACCTTCTCAGTCACTTTAGCACATCTCAAAAGTGTGAATACGTAGGGGACACCCAAACGGGAAATTTATTCTGTAGCTACAAGCAGAACTTGTGAAACTGCATGATTTTGTCTGGTCACAAATACATCTGTGTTCAGGTATCCTCTCAAAGGGTCAAGATCTCATCTACCACCTATTTCTTTAACAACTATTTGTGCAACTCATTACCTCTGTCCTCAGATGATCTGCCTGGCTGTTGTCTTTGCATGCAAAGACATAGAACAATTAGGATAAATGTTGTATCAAACAATATACAATCCCACAACACAACTGACTCTGCAAGTTGGGAAGAGAAGATCCCTCCGTTTCCTGACTTAATCCATCACCATTATATTATCCAACAATTTTTACTATGCTTCTTTCTTCCCGTGATACTTATATACAGGTTTTCTTTTATCTTGAAAATTAGTAACAATTTATTGAAACACTTAAAAAAAAAAAAAGCCCTGAAACCCCAACTTCTCCTCCCAGGCTGTGATTAGGATTACAGTGCCTGTAGGATGCTGTTATGCATGGTCAGTGCCTCCTTGGTGCGGCAAAGGCTAACTCCGGCCTGCTATGACTTTAAAGAGGTAAAGCTGGATTTCATTTGTTGGGGTGTGGGATTTTTTTTTAAACCAACAACTATGAAATCATCACACTAAACCCACAACTTTTTAAAGTTTACTGAGACTGCACCATGATTTTTGAAAGAAAAGCAGAGAGAAATAACAAGCGCTAATAATTAAACACTAAAAAACAATTTATATGCTACTAGCGATCACTGCAACATTAACACCCGACATAGAGGACGCTGTGAAAGTAAGTCAGCTTACACACACGCAACCTTTTATCGGTGTCAAGACATACAAATGTATCTAAGTCCATCTCCACAATGGCAGGCAGAATGTTATTTATCTTATAGACCCAGAGTCTTAAGAGTTCTCATGAAATACCCCAAATACTTTCTAAGGTGATAAACAATTGCTAAAAATGTCTGTATAGTGAACACTTCGCTTATTTGCAATTGTTTCAAAGGACAATGAGCACTGCTGTTTTCCACTCTTGTTGCAGGGATATTTTAAGATGAATTCAGAAAGCCTCTTCAGCTAACTTTGTACCAACAGTCAAACTGTAACCTAGCAGCAGACTGAATTATGCTTCTGAACACACCCAATGTAAGCCAGAGCATTTTTGTTTACAAAGATTATTGGCAAGGCACAGTGTTGCTAACAGGCTGATTTTTCTACACTATTCAAAGTGTTCCCCATCTTCCAAGGATAATGAAGTACTGTGAGTCCTCACACAGTTACACAGCTGTTAAAGCACAAAATGGAGCTGCAGTTATAGATCTTCCTGGACATTACAGAATCTTTAGCTTATGAGGAAGACATTCTCAAAACATGGACCAATTCACTTGGACAGAACATATAACTTAGTTCCACATATTTGATGGGCAAGAAGTTTGCCTATATGCTTGTTCTTAGAGCATTCTGCCTTTGTTTCCCCACTCCCATCCTTTCTCATGAATGCTACAAATTTCACACACATTTCTACTTCATGCTCTGAGTAGAGACTTTTAAAAACTAAGATTATGGACTCTTAAGCACCTACTGGGACTTTCAAAAGCACCCAGGTGCCAAAAACTTATAATATCAGTCCCATTTTACCAAAGGGCCTAAATACCTTATAAAATCTATCCCTAAATTCATACACTCCAGAACAATTATGCAACACGTAAGAGTCAAGCCTCATTTATCTTGAGTCATTTACAGAGTTTCAAGATACCCAACTTACCTTTTGAAAGTTCACGGATAAAGTTGGCTCCTCTAAGAGGAGTCCCTCATCAGAGTGGCCATTATCATGATTTGACAGTCCTGCATTGTCGGGCATGTGTCCTTTCCTGAGCCGTAGGCCTGGCTCTGGAATACAGGTGTTATCGAGATTCGTTGTTCCGTTCATGAGACTCTGGGGGCTCTCTCGGAGTTTGCTTCCTCTTATGGGATGGGTTTTGAAGATAATGTGTTGTCCCTGAAAAAGCAGAGTTTACATAATTGACATCAGAAAGATTCTAGAAAGTTGGTTAGGCACATGACACATTGTTACCTGCATGGAAATGTATCCAATTGGTGCCCATGCCCTGTCTGTACTATCTGTGGCACCTCTTATTAGATAAGATTTCCATTTCTACTCACAATGACCAATACTTCTTAACTATCTCCCTTGCTCAGACGTCCTTTAAAGGTGACAGAAGGAATGTTTTCTTCAAAAGTACTAGTTACTACATGCCCCAATATGACAGCCAGTTCACAACATAAAACAGGAAGTGTTTAATAAATCTTTCTGCTTTTGAAACAAATGTCAAACATGGATATTATGGAAGTTTTTTATCTCATCTGTACTTTTAGACAGCTAAGCCACCATCAAGGACATACTATAGAATGTTCCTTGGCACATGGCAGGCTGCATTATAAAACAGAATTACAGCTTGTTTACATTAGACTTTCCGTCTCTTATACCAACACTGTGGCAACTCCACAAGTAGAAGTAATTGCCTCTCCACTATGGCTTGGGTGGCCATTAGTGTTTTTAACACCACATTCTATTTGTTAGTCTCAAGGTGCCATGACACTGCTCATTGTTTTTAAAGTGACAGACTAACACAGCTATGCCTCTTATTCTATAGACTTGATCAATAAAAACAATGGTAGGAGTGCCTCTTGACATGTTTACAATAGCACCTCCCTAATAACTATCATTAGAACTGCACCAGTACTCAAGCAAGTGGAACAAAAAAAATAAGTCTTAAAAGGCATGTCTTTGTCATAGCCAAAGTTGCCACTCTTTTCTAGTCACCCAAGAGTAGTTTTCTATCCCCTTATGACAGTTAAGAACCATTCTGGAAGTGAATTTTCACTCATGTGCTGCTGCAAATATATTTTGGGAAACTTGAATACAAATGCATTAAATTAGCAGGAAATTCTCTAATTCAAGTTAACTGACTTCGAGCCTTCCATTACTCAAGGATTGTTATCTGTTGTAGGAGATGAACAGCAACTACCACCAATTTGGTACTAGACACGTCAAGATTCAACAGAACAGGTTGATCCATAAACAATTATTAGTAATTTAGGAATGCTAAAAGACATTAACATTTAAAGAATTCTGAGATGAAGAGGTCTTCATTTTACAAACATTGAAGGTACTACTACTAATCACTACAGTAACATCTAAGCACTTAACATACACAATTACAATCACAAGCAGATATAGTAAGAATCAGTTGACTAGATACAAGGTGTCCAATAAAAGACATTACCTCATCCACTTTGTGTCTCTAATATCCTGTTAGAATACTGCTGCTAGAATACTGCATTAGAACAACCCTTGTAAGTTACAAACAAAAACTACATTAAAAGAAACAGTTACAAAGCTGTGCCTGTTTTAGGAAATGACAATCAAAATACTACCTAAACTACATTACAGAAAGAAGCCTAAAATGATCTATTTGGAGAAAGCTCCCCTTAATTAAGAATCACTGAGAAAACATTTTAAAAGGCTAGCATTATACATAGCCCACAACATGTTAAGAACTATGATCATCAACATCTCGTTCCTGAGGGTGACCCTAAAACGTTAGAAAATTGTACAAACCTAGTGAAGATAATAGGTTCAAGCAAAAATAAAATAATCATGTAAGCAAGAACTCCAATTTTAGATGCCAGTTTAGTAGGATTGAAATTCTGCCTGCTCCTGCCCTAGGCAAAGCAACAAGTTCTCCACATGCTGGCTTGGGATACTATTTATAAGCAAGCATGTAACCAGCAAGTAAAATGGTTGGCTCTAAAAAGTATGTGTGAACACACTATGGTTAATATTCAGATATCATGGCAGCTGACATGCTTAGCTTTTCTTACAGTGCTAGGCTTGTCTATGTTACAGGTCTGGCAGTGTGCACTGGAACCCCAAACCAGGCCTGTGTAACTTATTTGTCTGGTCCTCCTTTCTCTGAGCAGTAGAGCTCCCATTGCACCTTGCCCCACACAAGATGGCCCTGTGTAAGTGTGCGCCCTTCCGGTACTATTTGCAACGCTGCTGTCACAGCATCTCTTAGTGCCTGTATGTGGCATTGCAACAGATGCTCCTCAGATTTTCCTGTGTCACCTTTGGTCTATTTCAGCCATTTGTGCGACCCGGCCCATCAACAAATTCAGGTAGCAGCCAACCCTTTGCAATGCCTTAGAGTCCTTAACTTCAAGTCCAACAAAGAACAAAGCAATGGAATCTTGACCCCACTGGACTGAGCTTGTAGCCTTTTTTTCAAGGTAGCCCCAAATTCTGACCATCTTAACATCAGCCCCCAGCTCCTGAGTTTTACTTTAACAAACAGGAGAGTGTCACTCTCCATCTATCTAGGGCAGAGGTGGGCAAGAGGCCGTTAGCAGGCTGGATGTGGCCCACTAAGCCACCGGATCTGACCCGTGGCTGCCTCTCTAGGACCCTTAAGCACAGCACTGCTCTGTTCTGCCCCCCAGCAAAATTTCTCAGCTCCCACTGGCCACTTCCCAAACAATAGGATCTGAGAAATTTTGCTGGTGGCACGAGCAGTCAATGAAGCTCCCACCCCCACGCCACTGTGAGAAGAGCCACGTGGAGCAGCTTGCGACTGCAGCCTTCAGGTTCCTGCAAGGCTGCTGAAGCTGCCCAGGTAAGCACCTCCCAGCCAGAACCTGCCTCTGGCACCTCCACCTCCTCTACCCTCCCAACTACCTGCCCTAGGCCCCCACCCAAACTCTCTATATCCCTTTTCCCAGGTCACAACTCCCTCCCAGACCCTGCACTCCTCTCTGGCACCCACACCATCTCCTTGATCCTGCACCCCAATCTCTTGCCCTAGGTCACCACCCAAACCCTCTGTACCCCCTCACCAAGGTCACCACTCCCTCCCAGACCCTTTACCCCTCTTCCCAAAGTCACTCCCCCCAGACCAGAATCCTCTCCTGCACCCATTACCCCCTTCTGTACTCTGCACCCTAACCCTCTGCCCCAGATCACAATCCCCTCCTTTACCCAAACTCCCTCTCAGACTCCACACCACGTCCCTTACCCCAAGTTTCCTTCTGCATCCACCCTCTGTCCCAGACCTCACATCACCACGGTAGAAATGTGGCCCTTGACCACTTGCCAAAACCTTGGAGTGGCCCCCCATTAAAAGTTATTGCCTACCCCGATCTAGGGTTTCAAGTAAACAGCAGTACCTAATAAGCTTCTGGCTAGACAAATTTCCAGCTCAGCATTTCACCTTCAGACACCTCTCATCTGCATCTCCTCCCTGGTCCCCCTTCTAGTTGCCCTTTGCTCTTTCCTTTATAAAGACCCTCCTCCCTACCCCCCCCTCACCCCCCGAATTGGGTTTGATCACCAGTTAGGCCTAGCACCCTTTCAGGCACAGCTCATTAAACTAACTAGACTCTAACCTGTTCATCACTTCTGTGGGAGTATACACCTCATCACAGACAATTAACTCCTTCATTAGGGTACTATGAGAAGGCTGCTCAGATACACTAACAAACATGGCTACCTATACCAGGCATGTCCAAAGTCCGGCCCGCGGGCCAATTGCGGCCCGTGTTCCGGTTTAATACGGCCACACAGGTAATTTGGCAATATCTATCTTTTATGGCACCCAACGAATCCATATGTATTGAGATGAAAACATTGTAAAATCTCAGTTAATGTCAGTTGGTCTAAATCAGTTATAAATATATTTGGACACAACATGTATACTTGGTGTTATGTTCCTGTTCATATTTTTTGAACTTAAAAGTTGACAGACAACCTTTATTACCAATAATATGTAATGTACTTTACAATGTTCCTGACATATATTTCAGCTTCCTGGATTTTTTTTCATCTGGCCTTCAGATATGAAAGGCAGAGTGATTTAACACCTGTTTAGATTTGTCATCCATGTGACGAAATGAAAAGTATGCTGTTTGCAATAAACTTTGCATAAAATAGTTAATTTGCATTTAATTTTAATGGTTCAAAGAATGTCAGGCAAAATGGTCGGCCCTCACGCATGTTCACTTCATCAAATCTGGCCCTCTTTGAAAAAAGTTTGGACGCCTCTGACCTATACGGATTGGTTTGAATACTTATCTGATTGACACATAGCTGTTGCACGGGCTCATACTTAACACAGTAGAGACAAGATTTCTACAGAAATACTTTTATCTTTAGAACAGTCCTTTCCAGATTTGTTTTGTAGTTGCTTAATAGAAAATGCTGTAGTTAAGATGACAGAACAGGTTGTTATAATTCCCTTCTGCCTGCTTTTTGTTCTAATTCTGAAGCTGCTTCTTTGGGCCTGAAGTTTTCCAATTTTTTCCAGCCAGGAAATAAAGATCTCTTTTGTGGAAAGTTTGCAAAAAATGTTTTCAAATGCTTTGGGTTGAGGCAAGGTATACTTTATCCCACAGAAAAAACAGATTAACTTTGGAAAGTGGCATGTAAACAGCATTCAGGAGGTGGGTCAATTACTTAATATGGAAGGAGCACAGAGAACAGAAGTATCCAGTGTTTTCTTGCTTCATTCTTCACTAAGAAGTTTAATTGTGACCACAGGCTTAACACAGTTAATTAACATTAACAACAAGGGGAAAAGAACACAGACCAAAATAGGAAGAGTGGGTAACAGACTGTTTAGATAAATTAGCTGTAATCAAGCTGGCAAGACCTGATGAAGTGCACCTTTGTAATTAAGCAACTACACCAAGGGTGGAGAATCTGCAGCCAGCAGGTTAGATCCAGTCCTCCAGTTAATTTGATCCAGCCTGCAGCACTGAGACTTGCCATGGGCTGGAAGCCCTGAGAGTTGGCTACACCTGCTTACGGGGCTGGAACTACAAGGACCCGCTCACCCAGTTGCAGGGAGAAGCTAGTTTAGCAGCTCACCTGGTTGCAGGGAGAAGCTAGTTTAGCTGTTTGCATCCCCTAAATGCAGGGATGCCAACAGACAATCAGGGAAG